ATGGAGCCTTTCAGGACCTACAAGTTAGGTTTCTTAACCAGGCCCAAAGCCATAAATGGCATGAAGTACTCTTTCATATCCTAACTACTACAGAAAAAAAAAGGAGGTTGAGTTTTACCCTCAAAAATCATTACACAGTAGGGTTGGCGAGATAGCTCAGCGGACTAAGCAGCTACTTAGGCCAGTGCAGGGACCAGGGTTCAATCCCCGAAACCACATGTAGTGCCAGTCCCGCCCCGGGTGTGCTGAGCCAGCCACCAGACCCAGCTGTTGGCACATGCTTGTAATCCCAGCGCTGGGGAGGCTGAAAACAGGAGGATCACTACAAGTCTGAGCTGCATAGTGAAACTCTGTACCAAACACATTAAAAAAACAAACAACAACAAAAAAAAAACCACCATTAATGATGCTTCTCTGTTGCTAGGATGACCATGAATTAGGACTCCTGTCATGTACTTGTTGTGTATCATGTCATGTCAAATCTGTATATGACCAGGAGCCTTAACATTCATAATTCTCACTATGATTTAACTATGTGATAATATTCTTTCAAGAATTAAAGCATTTCTTTTTTCTCTTCACCCTTTCTTAGTCCTTTGATAGGGAGGGCCCTGCCCTGAGAATTCTTTCATAGGCTAGACTAATGAAGCATAATACTTGAGGCAAGTGAAGGGGTGAGAACTCTTTTTTTTTTTTGTCCTTTTGAGACAATCCCAATATGCAGTTCAGGCTGGCCTTGAGCTCACTTTGTAGCCCAGGCTGGTCTCGAACTAGCTATGATCCTCTGCCTCAGCCTCCAAATACTGGGATTACAGGTGTGTACCACTGTGCCTGGCAGGCTGAGAACTCTTTTTAAATAAAATTTTCTCAGCCTTTTGTTTGTCATGAACAACTGGTCATCCCAGGTTCCTGCTGAACTGCCATTTGTCTGTCATTCTCTTTCCTTTCTCCCCGACCCCCATCTTTCTGCTGTGAGCCATAACACCTGGCAGGAAATTGGGGCTCACTGCAGGGGTCTTCAATAACTGGTGCCCAGTATGGCCTGAGCCCACAGAATTCTTACCTGCCTGGTGGACTTCTTAGGAGTATTTCAATGTTGTTCAGATCTCATATGACAATTTTGGAGACATGGGTAATGAGCTAAGACAATGGAACACCATAATGGCTGCCCTTCTGGAATGTACAACTATGGAAAAAGGAACATCCCAGCCCAGTGGTGGGCTGGTGGGCTGTCCAACCTTCCAGTGCAAGCATTCTCAAGGATGAGAATGGAGGGGCCGGGGAGATGGCTCAGTGGAATAGTGCTTCCCGGGCAAGCACAAGGGCCTGAGTTCAATCCTTGGTTCCGGAAAAAAAAAAAAAAAAAAAAAAAAAAAGACAACTCAAGGATGAGAATGGAGAAAAGCACCACAGTCCGAGTACTGAGATCCACAACAGCTACAAAATGCATGACACAGACAACGTGTGAGACTCACATCCTGGTGACTGGACAGGATCTCCCACAAGTTCCTGGGAATGTGTTTGTTGCTAAGGTGGACATCATAGCCTGTGTGCTGTTTCAACTGTTACAAGTTACAAAAACAAAAAGGGGATATTTTGGAAACCATAAATTCACAATGGCTAGGATTTTTTTTTTGTGTGTGTGTATGTGTTCCTGGGGATCAAACTTGGGACCTTACACTTGACAGGCAGGTACATAAGCACAATGGCTAGTTTTACAAACTTCCCTAAAGATGAATGGAGGCTTGCAATTTTTGGCATCCCTTTTTGAGATTTCCCATTTTCCCACTAGGGGTGGGCCACCCTCAACCACCCACTAAAACTAAGGCAAAAACCACTAACACTAAAGATATTCTAGGGAAAGATCCTCATTAGTTTAAGATTATCACCACTCTTAATTATCCCATAATCCTCTCAGTGAATGCTGACAAGAGATGGTGGCTGAAAAAATTCTCTTTTCAAGAGTAATAAGGCGGGGCTGGGTAGATAGCTCAGGCTGCCTGGCAAGTGCAAGGATCCAGGTTCAATCCCTGGTACCACATGCCATGATGGCCCCGTCCCAGGTTGCCTACCAAAACTGGGCATGGTGGAGCATGCCTGTAATCCCTGAGTTGGTGAGGCTGAGACAGGAGGATCACTATGAGTCTAAGCTATCTAGGGAAATCGTGTACCAAATAAATAAACAAATCTTAAAAAAAAAAGGAACAAGATAAGGCCAGTTGTGGTGGCACATGCCTATAATTCCAGCACTAAGGAGGTTGAGGCAGACGGATCTTCCAAGTTGGAAACCAGCCTGGGCTACAAAGTGAGCTCAAGGCCAGCCTGAACTACATAGGAAACCCTGCCTCAAAAAGACAAAAGAGTAACAAGATAGTATCTTAAAACATTTGAAATATTAATATTTAAGCAAATAAATTTAATCATGGAATTGACCTATCTGGTATCCCACATCATTAACATTAAAACTTGTAAAATTCTTGATTAATAGGAAATGGGGGAAAATATCACTAGAGGTTTAATAAAGCTGAAACTATCAACGAAATTGAAAGCACTGGTCCTTTTAGTCTGTTTGAATACAGTTTCTGTTTTCATTATGTCTTATTTTTGAAAATGCAAACAAATAACCACTAGGAAGAGAATATGCAATGTGTTAATTATTGGAACTGTCCTACCAATTCGATTTTTTTTAAAATTTTATTTATTTATTTATGTGTGTGGCCAGCTCAGCCCACCAGGGGGCGGGGCTGGCTGGCATGTGGTGCTGGGGGATTGAACTGAGGTCCCTGTGCTTTGCTAAGCTTGTTCTAAGTAGGTGCTTTAGACCACTGAGCCATCTCACCAGCCCCACCAATTCGATTTGAAACTATCTCATTGCTATTTATTTCTCAATAAAATTATGGAAAAAAAAAAAAAAAGAAAATGCAGAGTGACAGAAAACTAGAAATTCTAGATGGCAACAGGTCTCCATATACTAGAACTTAATTGTTTAACAGTATGTAATTTGTGTAAAATGACAATTAGCAACCAACAGAACTGTTCCACATTCTAATCAAAGTAGTAAGATAATGATCTCTGAAAATGCTGCTTCATTCCTAAGACACCACATACGCCATCTTGGAAAAGTGGAGACAGGCTTTTTTTTTTTTTGAAGCATTGCCTCCATCACTTACTAGTTATATGATCTCCAGAAAAACTGCTTAAACTCTGAGATATAATAAAAACCTAGGCCACACGCTTCATTTGAAATTGAAATAAAGAATAGGTCAACTAAACCAAGCACGGTGGTTGATGTCTGTAAACCCTGCACTACGATGAGACAGGAAGATCATTGAAGTTAAAGGCTAGGCTAGACTATATAGTGAGAGCCTATCTCCAAAAAACAAAACAAAAAAACAAAAAACAAAACAAAACAAAACAACCCCCCCCCAAAAAAAACCAACCAACCAACCAAAACCGAATGAACAACAGATACTGTGAAAGGGAAAGAAACTTCCAAGGGAAGGAACAACTGGGATGAGGGAAAGAAGAGAAATATATATGTATATTTACAGGATAGCTTGGATAATTGTACTGGTGATTTTTGCTGGTCTACTGAAAGGAGCCTTTACTGCGTAAGTTTTTTTTTCCCCTCCTTTTTAAAATAATTTTTTGAGCAATCTTACGGGTTATATCTCGCAACCTGAACAACTAATTTGAAGACAACAGTATGCAATATAACAACCATTGTTGAATTCCTATTATTTTCTTTAGTGAAATTTTGTGCCATTTCTAATTTTGTTTTTTGTCTTTTTACTTTTTTTTGTGTTGTTTGAAATTTTTTAAAAAATGGAACCGGCGAATTCTGTAATTTTAATGCCTACATCACAGGGATTGGAGAAAAAAAAAATGAAGATCGCCTTTAAATGAGTGTCACAAGGAAGCCCAATTCAGCTATCTCTCTCTCTCCCTCCCTCACAGAGCCAGTTAGCAAGAAACAGCAAGCACATTTACTCGGCTCAGTCTAAGAAGGCATTATCCCACATACTATAGTCCCGAGGAAATCAAAAGCGAATTTCTTCTAAAAGACATGACATACATTTTAAAGTTTCAGGAAAATCTGTCTTGCAGGCTTTTCCGTAGGCAAGCAGATTCACTCAAAATTGTAGTGTACAGAAAATGAAAACCGACAGGAGATTTTGGACAAACAGTATTCACCATTCACAGTGCTTGGGAATAAACTGCAAACATTTTAAACAAATCTGTTTCATGCTGTATGTCGTGCTAAATCCTTGACGTTGTCTTACACTACTAATATTACAGTTTCAACCGTGCCACGTGAACAGAGAGAAAATGAAAAAACACTTTAAATTCCACATCAGAGATCTCCTAGGCAGGGCCGGGACCTCTGGCTACATAGTTAAAACCATAAATGCAGCAGCAGAAATCAGAGTGATTTACCAGGTATCTATGTCTTCCTAGTAGGTTTTTTTTTTTTTTTTTGGTGGAACCGGGAATTGAACTCAGGCCTTTGCACTTGCCAGGGAAGTGCTTATTCCACTGAGCCATCTCCCCGGCCCCCCTAGTAGGTTTAAAAAAAAAAAAATCATTTATTTATTTATTTGGTAAAGGGTCGTGCTACACAGCTCTGACCCACAGAGATCCTGTCTCAGCCTTCCCAGGGCTGGGATTACAGGCATGCGCCACCACGCCCGGTTTCTAGGCCCGCAGGGCATGCGGTACCGGGGATCGATCCAGAGTCTTTGCGCTTGCCAGGCAGTCGCTTAGACAGCCGAGCTAAATCCCCAGCCCCTCTAGTGGCTTTTTAATACTGAAAAATAGAAGTGTGAAATAGCTTCCTTGGGTTCTGTGTCAAGGCATAGGCCAGAGAGGATGACTGATGACAGCGTTCAATAACGACAACGCCTACACGCCTGGGGACAAGTCTAGGCTACAAAAACCCGGAGAAACGGTGACAGAAGGGAGAAAGTAGAAAAGAGGAAAGCAAGTTCGCAAAAGCATACCTTTCAGCGCCAGCAGATGCTCCTGTTTGGGGGGATTCACTTCCATCTTGACGGGCACTTCAGACCTGTAGCCTACGGGAGCTGGGGAGGGTCAAGCCGGCCCGGAAGAAAACGGAAACGCGCTTCTGGGAAGACCCGGGGTCAAATGTACCCCAACTTCTTTCAGCTGTAGGTACCTTAAATTCTTTTTAGAATCTTAACTTTGCTATTTACACGCCCAACAGCTTCCTTTCACCAAAGCTATCTCTTCTCGCGTACAGACCTATACCCATCTCCAACCACACTCCAGGACTTCAAGAAGTCAGTCTTCAGGGTTCCCAAACGTCTCTAAGGCTAGAATTAAAAAAAAAAAAAAAAAAAAAA